ACGGTGGAGACCCTGTGTACACGGCTCTTCTCCTTGAGTGGCCGGCCTTCCGGACAGAGTTCCTGACACGGAGGGAGCTGACACGAGGCTGCGTTTTCCAAGAAAAGCTTGTGCGGTGATGCTATAAAAACCACAAAATTGGCATGGCCCGAGCTCCTTTCCCTGGTAAAAACTTTAAGAGCCATGGGCCATAGCATGAAACCTAAGCTTCCCAATGTTTAAAGGAGGCATGAGCTTGTGGTTTCAAACAAATGAAATTTAGAAGGAAAAGAAGAGGGAGCCGGAGCAAAGCCTTTCCTTATTCTCAGACTTCCTGCTCTTGGCGGCGGCAGTGAAGTTTATTTTACCACAAACCAGTCTGCCGAGGTTGGATGCACCTGGCTAAGCCCTCGCTTCATTCCGACCCTGCAAACTTGTCAGCACTCTGGGTCTCGTAATGATGGCTTCGCTGAGCTTTACCTCGAAAATGCAGCCCATGAGAGTTTAAGGGGAAACCCAATTCATGAGTGATTAATTCATTTACCCTTCATCCCTCACATGTTCAGAAGGAGTTATTTGGTTTTTAGGAAATCAAACAGTCATTGGATAAAGGAGGGGAGAAATGCTAACTGCATAGGTTTCCCTTGCGGTTGAACTTTTGTGAGAACCGGTTCTATGCTCCATTCAGGCTGAGTCTCCTCACAGGAGCCTATGGCTACATGCTACCCCACTGATCCCAGGCTTCTCCCAGAGCCATCGTTGGGAGTGTGGTCTTTCACCAATGCAAAACCATGCTGGAAGTGTAGAAATGGCCAAGTCCGTGGGTATAAATGTAGCTTGTCTTCTTAAGACATCAAAACTGGCACAACGTTTTTCCTCTCTCAAGATCTCAATGACAAGATCAGAAAGGGGTGGTGGTGGGAAGGGCTGGGCTGGGGGCTAGTATCAAGGGCAGGATGTCACTCATCTTCCTGCCTTCCAGGTTTAGGTGAAGAGCACCTCGGCAAGCAAGACTGCGAAGGATGCCCCATACATGCCCATACCACGCTCACTGGATCAAAGGCCTTGCCCGTGTCCCACCCCAGACTGTCAGGTGCTGGTTGAAACCAGTCCTATAGTCCATTGCACACAGTAGAGACTCAAAAATATTTACTGTCTACATAGGTCATAAAACAAGAGCTGTGTACGGCTCAGTGATGCCGCCTTTTCTGGCTAAGTAGGCCTCCTGTTTGTTTGTTTTTTGGCCTTCTTGTGTTCAAAGATGGGTGTGTTATGGACTCGTATAGGTCTTTGGGCTGAAGAAACCCTAGAAGCTTCTGAAGTTTGGGACTACTGAGGTCCAAATATAGCACTGGGGACAATCCTGGTTCTGGAGACCCAGTCAAGTAGGCAGTCTAGGGAAGATAAAGCAAGGATTCTACACAGGGGAAAAGGGACGCCACGGGTTTCCCTCCTGGTCATCTGCTCCAGCTCACTAAGCTAGTCAAGAATCCGGATTCAGGCTGCCGTGCTGACCAGAAGGATGTACAGACTGTGTAGGACCAGAGATTTCTTTGTGTCACATCTCCTAAAGGCCAGAATGGGGTGGAGAAGTAGTTCGATATGCCCAAGCTTACACTAATTTTATGCGTGGAATTTGTCTGAAAGGAGGATTCCTGTTTGAATACAGCTTTCCCCAGCAAGGCTATCAGTAATTTCTCCTATGTGCTCCTTTCCCACTTGAAAAATTACCTGCATTATGCACTAGATTTGCACTGAAGACCTATCTGGAACGAGAAGAGTGCAGAAGCAAGTCTGTGTGAGACTTCACAAATAAACCTCGTTCAGACGCACAAACAAACGATGGATTCTGAAACCACTGGG